ATACCATCTTTTGTTTGCAAGATGGGAAGCCAAATTCATTTGTTCGGCATTTCCTTTTACTCTCGCCTTCTCTTTGTGAAATCTTATATTAACTTGGATCCAGTACTCAATGAACTCAAAGGGTTTTACACGAACTTGCAGGAAGTTACAGGAAAAACAATCCCGTACTCCAAAGTCATGTAAATGAGAGCGATTTTTTGAGAGTTGTGAAGAGAATGAAGTTGCCAGATTTAGCCCGATTCTTTTTTGTTCCCGTACTTTTTGCTGTTACTCACTTTTTACTCTCACTTCAGAAAGTGATTTTGCTGTTTAACATTTTTACAGGATTTTACACGAAAAGTATATATTGGATCAGGGCTATTATATTATCCATACGTATGTATACTGTACATATATTCACGTTTGCTCATCAGCTATCAACGGTCCCAGACAAAATGATTTCAGTGTTTTTTTTTTATTTTCGCCTTGCTTTTTTATCAATAGACTATTAAACCTATGACTAAAACCATCTACGAATATCAAAACCAGTTGCAAGAAATGAGTTGATTCATATTTATGAATACATATAGGTACAAAGCCATATGCATGGCCGGACTTTGCATAATCGGAAGTAAAATCACTTGTACCGCTTCTAATGAAATAAAAAATTTGCTGCTTCAATACACATGCTAAGCTTTTCTGCTGGGCTATGCGTTACAGCTTCGCAAATTTTACCTCTACCGAAACCAAAGATGTATACACATAAAAAATCTATAAAAATAGGCAATAATATTTATCATAAAAACGAATTGGGGGGTAGGGTCTTGAAATTTCCAAAAAAAGCTTTTTCGATGGACACAATGGATAATACAAAGTATATTAATTAAATATATTTATTTTACAACATAGAAATTCCTAACATACATATGAAATATATATATATGTGTATACATTGTAGGTATGTGTATGCATGTGTATGTGGATGTTGTTAGGTTACACCTCCTAGATTGGTGAATATCCATGAAAAAATGTGTTAACCAAAATTTCAGGTCAATCGGAGAAAGTTGAGGCGGGCCGACACCCCCTCAAAGTTTGAATTTAATCTCTGGTTTTAGTTGTTAATGGTTTTAATACTTTATTAAAAAAAAAAAAAACAATAGTGATAAAAGTTGTAAGTGGTTTCAAAGCAAATATATTTACTTGAAATATTATTTCATATTAAGTTAAGACTAAATTTTGGCGAGCTTGCGCCCATACAAGAGGTATTGCTTAGATATCCAATTTGCTTGTTTATGTATCTTACAATGCACAATGGTCTGGATCGCCTTTTTTTTGGCATAACCTCGAAAAATAAAGGTAGAAGTTTGAAACTTGGTACATTTGCTTAGCATATCATGGATAAGTCATGGAAATTGTTTTGGACAAATTGGGCCACGTCTTGACCGCGAAATCAGAATTCAGGTTCTGAATTGTTTTTAATGCAAAAACTTATAAAACAAGCTGTAAAATGTAGCAATGCATATATTTTATTACATGGCTTATGTACATAAATATGTTAAGAATGTCTTAATTAAGATACAATAAGGAGATAAGAAATTTAATAAAACAAACTTTTTTATTTGCTACTCATCATGTAGTTCTAATTCTATGTCAAAATAATGAACGTCTTGAGCGTCTACATCACCAACGGATTTATCAAGGCAATCTTCATTTGTTTCTAAGAAAGATGGCGTTTGTAACATTATAATTACATCATTGGGTATTTGCCTCTTTTTGTGATTATCGTTTTTGTTAACGCTAAGACTAGAAAGAAACGGATCTGAGGAATCTAAAGCTCTATGAAAAACATCAGTAAGGTTGTTAATTCTGGAATTTTGCCTGGCATGTGACCTTCTATCACTTTTATAAAACTTATTGCGAGCCTCTGATGCGTTCTCGCCCAGGCAGCCAACCGGCAGTATAGATTTCTCGATTATGTCCGATCCATGCACCAATATCTT